TATTTAATGCCGACAAAATTTTTATTGCTGGTAATAATTTTTTTTTCTAAAAATGCATTTCTGGTAAAATATTTTTTCAAAAATGTAGTAATAATAATAATAATAATAATAATAACTGTCCACTCATATTCAAGGATACCAGTCTATTAAGGCAGCTAGCCAATCCCTGTTACTTGCTCAGACACATTTGTGCTTGTTTAACACCCACCTGTGGTTTATACTGCAACTATGCTCTGTAGACCTTAGTTACAGTTTCTGGGAAAGAGCATGTTATCTCACGTGATCAAGAATCTCAAGGCCAATAAACTAAAACTCTCGGTCACGATGACTTGTGACTTCGTGCTAGCACAGCTATCGACGAACCCCAATGGTTCTGTCAACCCAATTTCACTCACAAGTCTGTATGGTATGGCTTTCAGGCCAAAGGTGTCGCATGCTGGGATCACCCCCTGCTCCAGACTGATAACATCAGGAAGTCTACTTCCTGACAACTCGACCATGGTCGGAAAGCAAACATTCTAATCACGATATTGAGTCACCCCACCACACGGGTGTCATGTGGCACAAGGCCTTTTTAACGTGGGCATTACGAGCCCGTGGGCTCGGCCAAAAATATGCCCATTGAACCCATATCAACGGGTTCATGGCCGGTTTTATCTCCCCAAAGGGGAGACTGCCCTTTGGCAGAGCCTCCTTCGGGTTCCTCCCGTCCATAGGAAGAGAGTTCAATCGAGCAGTCGGTTCAAAAGTGAACAACTGACTCATTCTAATCACTCAGCCACGTGCCCATAATATTTTCCCCCCACCCCCAAAATGTATTCCTGGTAATATATTTTTTTCAAAAATGTACTGCTGGTGATAATGTATTATTGGTAATAATTTTTCCAAAACATATCGCTGATATTAAAACCTCTTTTTATACTTCCATATTGTTTTGAGCCCTTTGTGGGGGTGGTTAACTATTTGCCCATAGCAGGGACCCTGATGTGTGCTACCACCCCAGGTCAGGTTGGACCTGGGAACACCAGCAATTAAGAGGTGGTTCCACACTCCTCAAAACCTCCTGATCAGAGGCCGTGCTGTCAGCTGTAGTTTATCGTCATACCCAGGACAGAATGTAATTGTATAACTAGAAGACACTCCTAACAACTGCAAGACATCTATCAACTAAAATGTTTCATTATTAAATCGGCTAATTTTCATTTTAGAAATAGTTTAGTACTACAATATATGTGCAGATATTGGTATTCTGAAGTAATGGCAGCCATCTATTTTGACATCATATTTAAACGCTTTTTGATGTCCCAATGTTGGCCTATTTTTGCTATGTTGTTCACTTGACTAAATACTGCCAGAAAATGCAATAAAACAATTTCTTGCAATTTTTTGGAGGTTTGGACCATTTATTTCAAATAGTAACTACTACAGAGAAATGGTCAAATTCTCTTTATATCAACAACACTCAATGTTATACATCTTTTTTTAAAACTAAAATGCTAATAAAAAAAAAATAGTACTTATTAACAGTGAATAGGTTTCATTTGGACAAAGGCTATTTTTACGAATAAAGCAGTTGTGTTCCTAAGAAGGATACAAAAACTAAAATTTTAAAAAAAATTCCTTTTGTTTGAAGAAGGCCTACTGCACAGATGTATGTACCTGTTTCTCTCTCTTTCTCTTATATATAGGGTGCGATGGATAAATTGTCATCTAATTTTTGCCTAAATTAGATGACAACTAAAAATAACACCAAAATCTCATTTTAAACAGATATATTTATCAAAATTACACAAAAATATCTTGAAATACTAAAGAGTAAATTTATTCAATAAAATTGCCATTGACCTCAACCATGGCCTCCAGACGACTTGGGAATCTCCTGCAACTCTTCTGTGCAGTTCTCTTGTTTAAGTTAGTGAGTGCTGCCATAATCCTTGACTTCAGTTCATCTTTGGTATTACAAGGAGTTTTGTTGGTCTCTTGCTCAACTGCACCCCACGAAAATCAAAGGGTGTGTAGTCTGGGGAATTAGGGATGATGTAGCCCCAGAAATTGTCTGACAGCCATCACATAGGGTCTTCTAGCAGCCACCCTCTTGACCCAGGACAGCACTACATCCTCAATGCACTTGGTGTAGGCTACCGTTTTGAGTGAGGCTCTCACCAAGAAATTTGGGAGTTCTTTTCTTATCAGAATGATCAAAGTTTTCCGAGCGGCCGTATCTTCATAATCACCATTAGACTCATCCAACTCTTTCCGAATCCTCTACAGTGTCCTCAGATTGACACCCAAATACTCTGAAATGTTTGTACTGGAGTTTCTGGGTCAAATGCCAAGGATTACAGCATGCCATTTTCAAATTTCTGGTGGAGTGAATTGCATCGTGGTGGTGTTTTTCTTACAGGTGGTACCCAACTGACCCTACTATACTGTTCAGTCGACAAAATCAAAAACAACACACATTTGCAAAATCCAAAATATAAAATGGCAACAACTTTCACATTTCCCCCTGTGTGTGTGTGTGTGTATATATATATATATATATATACACACACACACACACACACAAAGAAAGAAAGAAAACCTACATACATATACAGGAGTAAACTACTGTTTTGGATGATGTTCCTACATTATTTCTGGATTGCTTTTCTCAATTTTTGAATATTCCAGTATAGAGCACCCAGTCTTTTCTTTAGTTCAGTTCAGTTTCTTGGGGGTATTTTTTTTATTTTGATTTGTTCTGACTGCTTTCATCTATTTTTTTTTGTTTTATTTTTATATATATATATATATATATATATATATATATATATATATATATATAGAAATATAAATAAATCTGTATCAGACAAGCAGTGGATAAAAAAAAAAACTTTTCTTTTCATATTTCATTCCTCAAAAGGATTTCTTCAGACTAATTTTTTATTAAAAATATTATATTATATTGAAATGGATTTTTGAAACTGCCATTATTTCTTATTATGAGAAATATTTTTGGTCGTTATATGTGTTTAGGTTGGTATCTGTTTCTTTTCTTCTTAAACAGTATAGCCTAGATCACAAAGTCCAACTAAAAAAAAAAAAAAAAAGGGTCTCCCAACAGTAATCCACCCTGTATCTCTTCCCTCGCCATCATGGAAAACATTCCTATAGCTAGACAATGTTGTTATCAATTTAGGCACAGGTGACTATCTTTATTAAATTTTTTTTTTTTTTTTTACAGTGAGGGTCACCATTTACAAGGCCTGAGAGCCACTCGAAGTAGAGGGTTATGTTTGGAGGCCATCTGTGTGTAAAGGTGTGGGAGATAACAACCCTAGCCTTGAAAAGGTTAAGATTGCAATAATCAGGGAAACATCCTATTGGAGTCAGTTCCATAGGGCAGTGGTTCACAGGAAGAAGCTGCTCAAGTGGAGCTTACTTCTCACTAATGGAATACAGAGGGAATGTGGGTGGTTTACTACTACACAAGTGGCATGGCATATTCTTGCTGTGAAGTTTTGTCTTGGATATATATGTATGTGTGTGTGAGCATGTGTAATTTAATACATCAAAAAATGGTCAAGTGATATTTGATATTTAAAATTCTTACCATGTTAGATACGTTACAACATCTAACTTTAGAATCAGTTAAGTATATAAAGTGGTGACACCCTACCAGTTAGCACAAACCGATTCTAAAAATTATAAAAGCTAGGTGAACCAGTTGTTGGATTATCCGAAAATAATCTTATATATTAATAGCCGATGGTCTAGGTAAAAAGTTAGTTACACTACACTCCTGTACGTACCTAATGAAACTCTAATAGACACACACTGCCTACCACAATAAACAGCAGTCAGTGGGGAAGATAAAAAAAGGAAAGACATAAAAAACAGTAGGTGTGCAGATAAATCAAGTGAAACAGAGAGATCTTTGGATTGAATGTGGCTAAGAAACCATAACACAGCTGATTAGAGTCAAAAAGCACCAGACGATGCCACCACTCTTTATATATATTATATATATAGTTATAATTTGGCAGCCAGATTCTAAGCCTAGACGAATGGACATACACACGTGTGTGTGTGTGTGTGTATATATATATATATATGTAAACAGTGGTAGCATCTTACCAGTTCGTGCAAACCAATTCTTAAAACTATAAAAGTTTAGTGAACTGTTTGTTGGATGGTTGGTTGGGTTTTATGGCATATCAACCACTGTAGGTCATTTAATGCCAAATTAAGTTATATATATATTAAACTATATAGTGCTATTAAACGTATAGCTGGCAACATTACTTTTTCAAAAACACATAGTTGGCAACATTATTTCTCCAGAAACGTACAGCTACAACATTATTTTTCCAAAAACATTATCTGAGGCCTTGCTGTTGTACGTAGTTTATCACCATACCCAGGACGCGGATGTAGTTTATTGTCATACCCAGGACGTGGGTAAGATCTGGAAAAAACTAGGAGTTCACTATTTGCCTATAGCTGGGAACCTAACAGGTGCTACCACCCCGGGTCAGGGTGGACCTGGGAACACCAGCAATTAAGAGGTGATTCCATGCTCCTCAAAACCTCCTGATCAGAGGCCTTGCTGTTGGATGCAGTTTAACGTCATACCTAGGACATCTGTTTGTTGGATTATCCAAAAATAATCTTATATATTAATAGCCAATATACAATAGCTAAACCTATAATTAATACCATTGCTGTAAGTTCTGCAGAGACTGAAAGAGGATTTTCTGGGATGAACATAATTTATTCTGAG